TCCTATCTTGTGTTCTAAGACTATAGTGGCTGCCATAGTACCGTTCGTTCAAACCGACGCTGTGTCGTCAATTCTTTATCAAATCGTGCAATCTAAATTGATAATTGTAGACGACGTGAAGACGCTCCAGATCCAATTTGAATCAAGTCATTTGCAGCTGTGAGCAGAACGCTATCAACGTTTGAAGCCGCTGTGCAGAAATCCGTCTGTGCTCTCTATCTTTCGTTTTAGGCACATTCAAGCCTATTGTGACTATAACATTTGGTGTGGGTGATGATTCTGATCGCACTCTGGTTGTCACTCACAGTGCAGGTGGAAGGTCGGCGAAGTTGGGATATTCGCTTCATGCAGGAGCTCTTGCAAGTAGAGCCTTCACAATCTGCAACTATCGCGGCAATGAATTCTGCTTCCGTCGATTCCCCGGCAACCAGTTCCTACTTCTGCGAGTTCCAGGAGATGGCCCTGTTGGCTCGAGCTAGAACAGGAACCCAATTATGGACCGTTGATTGTCGGGGTCAGCAACGTGATCGGTGTCCACGTAGCCGATGAGGTTGAATGAGGGAGTTGTGACTGTGGAGTAGCGGAGTCCAATATTGGGCGTGGAGATGAAGAATTGCAGGGCGCGCTGAGGTAGGTTACTAAGACAAAGAGCAGTTATCTAGCTGCTGCTGGTATGTGTGAAGGCCTGCGAGAGATAGGGCTTGGCTGTCGGGTTTGTGGTTCGGTCCGGGCGTGCGGTAAGGAGTGGAGAGTGGTGTAGGAGTGATGTTGAAGCGCTTCTCAAATGTTTCAGCATAGGAGATATTAAGGCCCAGGAACTGCTTCACGTTGTGATTAGTGGTGATGTCGACGCGCATCGCCAGGTTCTCCTTAAATTGGTCGAGCAGCGTGTTGCTCAATACTGTGTAGAGCAAATTTTCTACGTACACTGAGAGAAGGATGTAATCGCCACAGAAATGCAGGCGATACATCCCGAGGTCGTGCGACAGCTGCGTGAACCCTATCACAAGTAGGATTTTGAGCAGGCGCTGCTACCAGAGCCTTAGAGCTTGTTTGATCCCATAAAGCGACTTCTTCAATTGACACACGCACGGGTCACCCTCTTCGTAAGTGTGCGGCTGCTCCACAAAAATCACCGCATCTACTAACGCGTACATGAACGTGTTTTTCACGTCGATTTGGCGGAGCGGGAGGTGCCTTGATGTAGCGATCGCGAGTAGAATTCGCACGGAGGTATGGCGGCTGACCGGAGCGAAGCGAAGGTCTGGTCGAAATCTATGCCGTGCCTCTAGTCGTAACCACGTACGACCCAGCGCGCCTTGAAGCGCTTGATGGTCCCTTCTGCTGCAGTTTTAAGGATGGCAGCGGCAGCCTGGTCTTTTGGAGTAGCATAGCTGCGCCCGTCGTTCGCGTAGATCTGGTTTGCGCCTGCCTGCTCGTCCGCGCGGTACTGAGCGAGGTTGAGTCGCTCGTAGAAGATAACATCGCGGGCGTGCGTCACCTTGATGCTGAGCTGGTCAAGAACTATTCAGGCTTGGCATTCGTAGCTAATGCAAAGGTGAATAGTGAATACCCCAGCGCGCGCGGCTCGTAAGCTTGCCGATGGTTGAGGTAGGAGGGCGGTACTCCACCATGCACCCCAACACGCGGGGCATGGAGGTGTCGCATTTCTTGCCCGTCCATTTTACGTGCGGCGACAGGATGCCCGTGATAGCACTGGTGGAGAGAGGGTTGTGCACAGCGTGGTGCACAGCGTGGGGCACAGCGTATGGTCAGTACATTGCGGGAAGCTTGGACTGCTTCAATAGCGCGTGCACATTGGTCATGAGGGTGCAATTAGTGCACTTAGCGACGCCCTACTGCGGATTCGCATAGGGGAGGGAGATATGGTGCGATATCCGTTTCTGCCCCAGGTAGTCCTGCATCTCCTTGCTGCGAAATTTTGCTGCGCCGTTAGTCTGTCGGATTTGCAGTTCTTCCCTGATTGCCGTTGCGCGTGAGCAAGCCAGAGGCGGAAAAGTTCGTACGCCCTGCTGTGGAATTGCACGTTTCCGATCCACACATAACGAGTTCCAGCATCCACGAAGGTAAGCGTATACCCTTCATCGTTAAGCCCACAGTGTTCGACAACAAGGAAATCGTTGTATAGCTATTGTAGATTGGGGTAGTGGTTGGTTCCTGGTTCCAGCAGCGGAAACAGCTGATGACTCAGCGCGGCTTCGGGGCAGACGGTGCAGGTGCGCGGCTATGATGTGGTTCTGATTTCGGAGCCGTCAAGGCGCAGGAGTGTGCCAGGTGCGAAAAATCTTGCCTCAATGCAGTTGTTCATGGTCACGCGCGAGGGATGACCGATGCGCTGGTGCTACAGATTGTCAGATGCACGCAGTCCGGAGGTGCGCATATAGCGCGCGCGCACCACTTCGGGGTCTTCTTCAGGAAGCGGAGTTGGCGCTGTTGGTGCTTCTGCTTCCGCTGTCTCGTCGTTCGCCGTCGTCAGCATCAGCGTTCGGAATTCCCTAACGGGGATAACCGAGAGAGAGATATTGGTCTCATGTATTGTTCCGGGGACGAGCGTAAGCTCGCGCGGCTCGGGATCGGGTCCGTAGACGATGCGACGCGGGATCGATGGCTCATTGCCCCAGTTGATGGTGTTCCAGGGGTCGCGATGTGGCTGAATGTCGGCGTAGAGCAGAGGTGGCACTGTGATGTGTTACAATAGAAAGGACAAGCAACGGCCACAAGACCAGTGCACAAGAACAAAGCAACTCTCGGGGTGGATCTCAAGATCACTACCTAGTCTGAGAACAAACAAGGGGCCACAAGGCCAGTCCACATACAAGTACATAGCAAATATAGAAGATGCAAGAGTACAAGACAAAGCATCTCGACCACGTGACTGCGACTGCGTCAGCGTAATGGTGCGAGCTGCCCTGTCCCAGGTGATCTGCAGGCCAAGGTAGCGCTGCAGCTCACCAAGGTCAGTGCAAGTGTGTCTCCTCTGCAGTTCCTCCGTCACGGAGGCCAGTGCGCATCGGTCGGGTGTGGCGAAGACCATGTCGTCAATTTAAACCAGAACAAAGAACGGGGTCGGGCCACGGCGGACGAACAGCGACGGGTCAGCTGACGACGGAAAGAAGTCAAGCGCTGCAAGTGTCATGCAAAGTGTGTCGTGCCAGTCGCGGGGAGCCTGGCGCAGGCCGTAGACCGGTCGATGCAGCTGCCACTGGGTCCCATGAAGGAAAGAGCCAGTCCAGCCAAGCGGGCGACGCGGCCAGATCTTCTCGTGCAGACTCCCTTGAAGGAACGCTGTGGAGAAGTCCAAGAAGTGTAACTCGTAGTCGCGCTGAGCTGCAATATGCAACAACACCCGAAGAGTGGTCATCTTCGGGGTGGGAGCGAAGGTCCGAAAGAAGTCTACCCCCTCGCGCTGACTGAAGCCTCTCGCCACATAGCGCGCCTTGATAATTGGTGGTGATCCAGCCGGCCGCTTCACCTTGTAGAGCCACATGCCACTGACGACGTTCGTCCAGGTGGTGGGACGGCGTCGACGTAAGTGCCTGTCGACCTATAAAATGCCATCTATGCCTCCTCCGCTGCTATCCAGTACGAAGCCCAGGGTCCCAAGACCGCCTCGGCGTGAGTGCGAGGGATCGGGATGTCAAGGGCGTCTTGATCCCCCTCAGGGGCAAGCAGCATGGTGCAGAGATAAGGAACAGCAGCCGCCAGGAAACCAAGCTCGAACTGCATGTCCTCGAGGACCTCCACGGGAAAGATATGAGCACCCCTAGAGGACGGAGAACGAGCAGGGCCACTCACCGGGTTAGCGGCGTAGTCAAGTCAGTGGGAAGAGGCAAAGCAAATGACAGTGGTAACAAGTGCCGAGACAGACAACGGGGGGGCACTCAGGTGAGTGATTTATGCGGACAGAACACGGGAGACGACATGACGGGTGGCATGGAGGTAGTCGGACAACGGGTCATGAAACATCGTGAGGGACGACTCTGGAGGCTGTGGAAGGACTGGGGGAGGTGGAACAAGAGAGCGGAGAACAAGGTGAAACGGGCCATCTGCACGGTAACGGGACCGACACGGTAACGAGACACAGCACGACAAGCCCACAGGGACAAGGAAAGGGACTGGACGGGGGGAACATGAGGGGACGGTAGGGTACCACGAACAAAGCGTGGAAGTTCAAGAAACTCCTCTCCTCGGGGTCACCTCCGAGGGTCCCTGGGTGCCCGATCGAAGTCAGCCCCTATCCAAGGGTCCGAGTTTGTTGAGAGACTGTGAGTCTTGAGCTACAATGTGACTGTGATAGAGCTCATTTCGTCGGCTTAGTCAGAGTTAATCTTAAGCAGCGCTACGAAGGGAGAGCATTCTTAATATGTATCAAACGCACTTGTTTAATACGACTTAATTCAGATAATGGGTTGAATATGCAAATCTTAAAATTCATTCACATAGGGTAAGGCTTTTGGATATGAAACTACCACGCAGCAAGCTTATGGAGTAGGACTGCAATTAGCGAGGCAAGGCAGCGCGAACGAGCTAGGCGAAAACCAAGGGGCAAAGTCTGGCTCGGAAGTGTGGCGAGGGTTACGGGGCGACTCGTGAGTGGTTTGGCCCGACAAGTCAGGCCGAACCAGCTCAGGCGAGCAGTTCGGGGTTACTACTTTTCAGCGCACAGAACTGCGCGCGAAGCTGAATTTAACCAAGTGCACCGAAGTGCACCGAAGCAAGATCCCAAGGCACTGTTTTTGGGCCTTGATCTCTCCGCAGCGCACGCAGCGTGCTGCCCTGCTGTCTCCTCCACTCCCTCCCCAACCACCCCAAGGCTTCTCGCTCTGCCTCTCCTCCGCTCGCCACTCGCCACCCTCGCACCTGCGCACTACAAAGCACCGCCTCACGTGCTCATTCCTCTCATCACTCTCCAGCTTACAGCTTCTGTTCTTGCTACTAGAACCTCTCAGCCTTCCCGGTCGCGTTCTCGTTACCTCAGCATGGCCCCATTGCGCGAGTCGTATTCTGCAGCGCTGAGCTTCTGGAAGAGCCTCGGCGGGGAGAAGTCGAGCGCATCACGGCGCGTACAGCCGCTGAGCGACAGCACCAACAACGGCCATCGCACTGACGCCGCCGCGGGATGCAAGCACGACGCCACTGCGTCAGAAACTGGTGCGTGGGAATGCGCAGCGTGGGAGTCAGGCGCGTCGGAATGCGCATCCTCGGAAACTGGTGCGTCGGACCCTGCAGCGTGCGACTGCGCCGCTTCGGGTGCGCCGGAAACTGCTGCGCTGGACTCCGCCGCGCCGGAATGTGCAGCCCCGCAATCAGCCGCGGCGGAATCGGCTGGGCCGCAATCAGCCGCGGCGGAATCGGCTGCGCCGCTATCAGCCGCGGCGGAATCGGCTGCGCCGCAATCAGCCGCGGCGGAATCAGCCGCGGCGGAATCAGCCGCGGCGGAATCGGCTGCGGCGGAATCAACCGCGACGGAATCAGCGTCGGTGGCATTGGTGGTGGCGTTGTCACGCCCGTCAGCTGGTCGCAGCATGGCGGCAGCAGCAACGCAATCAACGATGTCGCTCCCCCCGTCGCACATCCCGAAGCCGAGCAACACGGGAGCAGCGATTCGGCGCATGGAGGGACCCACGCTGATCCCGAGGCCTCGATGTGCCGCAGCGCCCAGGCCGGTGCGGCGAGTGCAAGGCGAAGCTGCCGTCAAGCCGCCTCGCAGAACGCCCAAGGCCAAGGCCGCGCTCACTGCCACCCCAAAGCGCCCATGGCGGCCCTGACTGCTCTGACGGCAAAAAAGGACGAAAAACGAAAAGGAAAAACAAAGTAGCAAAAAACGTCATTACTGGTCCGACTTACGGAGAAAAAAGAAACACAGAAAGAAAAATGAAGATTAAAAAAAAAGGGGGTTGCGGACTGTTTGCAGTGAGAGATGATGGGTGGATGGGATGGCAGGCAGGAAAGCAGCATAGATGGGCGGACGGAATGAAAGGCAGGTAAGCAGCGCAGCACAGCAACAGGGAGAGCAGCGAACGCGGAGCGATGGGGAGGACGGATGGGTGTGGCGTGGATGGGGGAGCGACGGTGGCACGGCCCTTTTTTGCGCGCTGCTTCACAGCAGGGCGTTTGTGGGAGTGTGGGTGGGTGGTTGGTGGGTGGCGGTTGCAAGTTAGGGGGTGAGGGAAAGGTGGTGTGGTGTGGTGCTGTGGTGTGAATGCGGTGCTGCAAGCTTCAAGGATGGGTGCAGGCAGGGTGGGAATAACGTGGATGGAGAGGTGGGAGTGGTGGGCAACATGACGACAGCCCGATACTGCATAGCTGCAAATGGGTGCATGGAATGGGTGCACGACAGCCCAATACTACATATAGGTGCTGCCTTGACATGGGTGCAAATGGGTGCAAAGTACCGTAGCCGTAGGCACCAATGCTGTAGGTGCTGGCATGACGCCACCTGTAGGCTTAAGCCCAATGTAGGGTAGGATTAAGGCCTTGTTGTGTGTGCCCACTTGCAATGACAATGATGGAATGAATGAAGAAAGCCTAGTTGCGTGCAATGAGTTGTGGATAAGGGCAGCAGAGGATTGGATTGGCAGTGCAAGGCAGTGCCATGTGCACTCAGGTGCCAGCATCAACACGGCTGTGACAGGTTGAGAGTTGGTGTTTGCCATGTGGTGTTGATGGTGGTGGCATGGTGGGTGATGCAGCGCATGGTGAGTGGGGATGCAGTGCTCCTGCTGCTGCTGTCCCCCCTGCTGCAGCAGCAACTCCCAGCCCCAAGTGGGTCAGGCAAGCCGTTGAGGTGGAGGGTGAGGTGGGCGAGTGGATGGCGCAGCGCGGGGAGGGGTGTGGCGAGGAGCAAAAGGGGGGGGGGGAGAGGGCAGCAGGCGGGGAGGAGGGGCGGATGAGCAGCGCGTGTGGAGGCAGGGCGAGTGGAGAGCCCCGTTGAGCCCACGCCTCCGTGCATGCCCGCCCATGGCCTCCCCTGCATGGTGCCATCTATGCCTCCTCCGCTGCTATCCAGTACGAAGCCCAGGGTCCCGAGACCGCCTCGGCGTGAGTGCGAGGGATCGGGATGTCAAGGGCGTCTTGATCCCCCTCAGGGGCAAGCAACATGGTGCAGAGATAAGGAACAGCAGCCGCCAGGAAACCAAGCTCGAACTGCATGTCCTCGAGGACCTCCACGGGAAAGATATGAGCACCCCTAGAGGACGGAGAACGAGCAGGGCCACTCACCGGGTTAGCGGCGTAGTCAAGTCAGTGGGAAGAGGCAAAGCAAATAACAGTGGTAACAAGTGCCGAGACAGACAACGGGGGGGCACTCAGGTGAGTGATTTATGCGGACAGAACACGGGAGACGACATGACGGGTGGCATGGAGGTAGTCGGACAACGGGTCATGAAACATCGTGAGGGACGACTCTGGAGGCTGTGGAAGGACTGGGGGAGGTGGAACAAGAGAGCGGAGAACAAGGTGAAACGGGCCGTCTGCACGGTAACGGGACCAACACGGTAACGAGACACAGCACGACAAGCCCACAGGGACAAGGAAAGGGACTGGACGGGGGGAACATGAGGGGACGGTAGGGTACCACGAACAAAGCGTGGAAGTTCAAGAAACTCCTCTCCTCGGGGTCACCTCCGAGGGTCCCTGGGTGCCCGATCGAAGTCAGCCCCTATCCAAGGGTCCGAGTTTGTTGAGAGACTGTGAGTCTTGAGCTACAATGTGACTGTGATAGAGCTCATTTCGTCGGCTTAGTCAGAGTTAATCTTAAGCAGCGCTACGAAGGGAGAGCATTCTTAGTCAAATGTATCTTTCATTATTCAAGAGCATACATCATCATTCTAGGTTGTTTCTACTGCTAGATATTTAACACATCTAAAATGTTTTTAAGGTTAACGAGGCGCAAACATTTTCAAGTTTCCCTCGTTTTAATCCTGTGACTCAGCTAAGTTTCGATTCGCCAGCGAATATTTTAGAATGTTCGCGCGAAATTGATTAACGGCGTCGATCCGTTTTCTTTATTTGAGTCAGCTTGCTATTCTAAACAGGCGTGCTGATTTAAGCCAATCCCCTTGTTTGACTCATGGTGGCGTGCGCGGTCTCGCCACGTGCTCTGGTTGCTCGAGTCATGAGCACCTTCTCGAACTGAGACATTCCAGGTGGCGAGAGTACAGCTCTCAAAATGTTGGTGCGCGAGCAGCTGCCCTGTACTTCAGCCGCGTAAGTTTGTTCAGAACATGTTCGGAACTTGTTCGGAACCTGTTCGTAACCTGTTTGTAACCTGATTGTAACCTGTTCGTAACATGTTCGTAACCTGTTCGTAACCTGTTCGAACATTATTCAATCAGCGCAGTCCGTGTCCGTCAGTTCGAGCAGCAGCGATCTCGCAGCGCGAACAGCAATTCCGCGCTGTGAGGTCGATAAAAAACTGTTGAGTCAAAACGAGTCTATGAACTGCTTCGCCGCTCCCCATTGGTCGAAGCTCAAAATCCCTTGATCGCTCTATAATGAACGACTCGCCGCAGCACTGTAGAAATGTTATTGTGCACACCTCCATGGTAACAACCGCCTTATTGCTATACAGAAGTTAATAATTTATTAACATATTTGGGGGTGGTATGCCGAGGACATCGCACATGTCGTCGTAAGCGTGTAGGCTGCGACTTGAGGAATTTGAGGCTGCAGTGGTCACAGTGTACTATAGTATGGCTCCCTCTAGGTAACACCTCCGCTCCTTGAAGGCTGTGACTATCGCTAAGGCTTCCTTGTCATGAATTGGTTAGTTCAGTTCTGCTCCGTGTAGCTTCTTACTGAGGTATACAATGGGTTGCAAACCGCGTCCAAGATGCTGCAACAGTACTGCTCCGACTGCCTAATCACTAGCGTCTGCTTCCACCATGTAATCTCTGTCTGGATCCGGTAGGATGAGTACTGGGGCAGTAGTTAGTGCTGTCTGTATCTGCTCCATGGCTTGCTGTTAAGGAGTATCCTATTTGTAGGGCGTATCCTTTTCCAGTAAGTTCGTCAATGGCGCTGCTATCTTAGCGTACTGTGGCACGAACCTGTTGTAGTTATTGGCGAAGCCTAGGAAGTGGTGCAACTCTTTGACGTTCTCAGGAACTTTCCACTTTTTTATGACTTCGATCTTCTGCGGGTCCATATGTACGCCCCCCGCACTCACCATGTGCCCGTGAAACTGCACCTTCTTCAGAGAAGTCGCTCTTTGACAGCTTCACATAGAACTTGTATTTCCGCATGATCTCGAAAACTTTCCGTACATGTTCCATGTGCTCCTTCACGTTCTTGGAGTAGATGAGAATGTCGTCCAGATACACCACAACGCACTCGTGTAGTAGGTGCCGTATGATGTGGTTCATCTCTGCCTGGAACGTCGCCGGCGCGTTGCAGGGTCTGAACGGCATCACTAAGTATTCGTAGGAGCCGTATCTGGTACGGAACGTTGTCTTGTGGACCGAGTTGTCAGCCATCTTGATCTGCCAATAACCCGACCGTAGGTCCAACTTGTTGGTCTAGAAGATCGTCTATGCGCGATATGGGGTATTTGTTCTTGATTGTCTGTTTGTGAAGTGCCCGGTAGTCGACGCACATCCGTAAACTACCGTCTGGCTTTGGAGTGAAGAGAACTGGTGCGCCGTAGGGAGAGGTGGATGGGCGGATCAGTTATCTGTCCAGTCAGTACTCAAACTGTTTCTTCATATCTGTCACTTCGGTCGGACTAAGGCGGTATGGTGCACGTGAGACGAGTTTCGAACGTGGTTCCTCCACGATCTCGTGTTCGTGGGTTCGGGCTGGAGGCACTCCTGCAGGAAGGTCGTCTGGCATGATGTCCTTGTATTCCGTTAACACCTCTTGTACTGCTGCAGGTAGCTCCGAGTTCAGCTTCTCCTCCTCTGTTGTTGCCATCACCAGTGCCAAGTAGCCCGTGTTACTCTCGTTCACCGTCTGTTCGAACCGTGCAAGTGGCGTTTCAGGAACATCCCCTGTATCCGTCCAGCTTCACAGCTCCACGTTTTTCGTAGTTGTAGATGCACGCCTTCCGGTTGACCCAGTCGACGGGGTTGAACCGCTTCAGAAAGTCACGCCCCAAGATGAAACCCAATCCCTTGATGTTCGTGATCGACAACGTCGGCTTCCACCTCTGCGCACGAATGCAGCTGTAGCGTTGACTTGTCGTGGATGGGTAGTTTCGTGCCGTCCACCATTGTTGCTGTGAACTGGGTCTCCTCCGAGGATTCCCCAATTTTCCCCAACGTCCCGCGGTCGCACACCGAGTGGGACGCACCACTGTCCACCAGTGCCTTGAGGCGTCGCCCTTTGCAGAGCACCTCGAGTAGTAGTGGTTGTTGCCGCTCCGAGTAGCTGTAGATGTCAGAATCTAGACGAAGGAATGAATGCATTGAGTAGGAAGTTGGTACAAGTACTAACCCTAATTGGGTTGAACCCCTTATGGGCTACCCCACTACAGCCTACACAACATACAGATTATAATAGTTTGACACACCCCCATAGGCAAAGTGGGGGAGAACAAGGGGTCACAAGACCAGTCAAGAAAAGCAAAGCAAGCTCAGGGTGGATCACAAAGTCCCCACACACTCTGAGATCAAGCAAATTGCCACAAGGCCAGTTCACATGCAGAGTTATATAAATGGGAACAAGCAGTACAGTGATCACAACCTAGCAAGTGTAAGCATGCAGGTATAAGTATATAGATCACAGTACAAGCAAAGTCAAGAAGTGAGCAAGTGAGGCCAAGTAGGCACAAGGCCTAGAACAGTACAGAAACGCTGATGATCACAAGGCGGAAGTGCCTTGGTGAAGATATCAGCAGTGTTGGCCTGAGAGGCCACGTAAACAAGACGAAGCTGACCACGCTGCGGCATCTCTCGAGCAAGGAAGTAACGCAGAGCGATGTGCTTCGTCCTGTGCCGTGCTCCTGACACAAGGCAATCATGGCCTTGTTGTCTACGTACAGAATTGGAGGAGAACTAGGCCGCTCTCCAAAGTCGGTCAGAAGGTAGGTGAGCCAGCGTAACTCCTGTGTAGCCATGGCCCATGCGTAGATCTCAGCCTCACAACTGGAACTGAGAACAGAAGACGAGCGGGTAGACCTCCAAGAAACAGAACCGGAGCTAAGGTTGAAGGTGTAACCCTGTGACGACCGCTGCATAGCCAAGTCGTCAACCCCAGACGCGTCTGCGTGGCCAGTGAGAACAACTCGACCCCGTCCTCCAAGCACAAGCCCCATGCTCGACGTACTGCACAAGTAGTGCAACACCCTCTTAGCGGCCTCCTAGTGCTCTGGTCGGTGTCTCCCGGGCGCAACGTAGCGTGCCAGGATGCGAAGAGGGTAGGCAAGGTCAGGTCGAGTGCAGGTCATCAGGTACATGAGGCAGCCCACAAGCTCTGGATACGGGCCACTCGGCTCTACGGACTAGTCCAAAGGTGGAGCTGAGAGGGAGTGACCGGTAGGCAAAGGAGTGGACTGTGGCGAGGAGTATTGGAAGCGGAAGCGCTGAAGGACCTGGTGCACCATGCGGACAGTCAGACTCAGACTCAGCAACAAGACTAGCGGCGTAGTCAAGGCGACATGCGGCAGCCAAGTCTACAAGCTCAGCAACAAGGGCAGACGCAGCAGTGGACTCAAACGAAGGGTCAGTGACAATAGTGGCGAGAAGACGTGTGACAGTAGGATTGGCAGCACGAACTAAGTCAGACTCAGGGTCTGGAACGTCAGGAAGGGAGGACGCAGTAGGAGACGCCATGAGAACTCGTAGTGGAACAGAGGAAGGACGAAGTGTCATCAGGTGAGTCCCGGGGACAGGAGGAGGACGCGGACGCGGGACACGACGACTAGTGTGACCAGCGCGAACAGGCGAGGCAGGGCGAGACGCAGGCTCACGACGCTCTGTAAGAGCGTCTGTCTGC